AAAGTCAGAAGATAAGATGACCAAAGATTATCTCTGCTTACTCCAGCTGAAAGCTCCAAAACTATATACAGCAATTTTTTCTCATGTTGGAAAGCTCTGCTACATGCTTGCTGAGTATCTGGGAACCAGGAATTGCATACAGTCCCCAAGGGCATATTAGTGAAAGTGCTGCTCTTTGTGAAACAGCTACACTCCAACTTATTTGCAATTACCTTTATCTTTTAAGAATGTGAAAAAATTATACAGTCTATAAAAAATAGTAGGCCTCACCAGCAGTATCAGCATTGAAGAGGATAAAAAGAAATGCTTGTGATCTCTGTTTAGCATCAGAACAAAGTGGGGCATAAATATATATGCATTCTCTTTCACAATACATTTGAGTTGTCTTTTTGTTATGAAGTGTAGAACAATTTTTTAAAGCATAATTTGAAACCTGAAGTGCTGGGAGGACTTACGCAAAAAAGCTGCTAACTATCAGATGACAAAGGTGACAACCTACACTGAAATGTGTCTGTCCTATTTAAAAGATCTTGCTTGCTAAATACTAAAGAAAAAAAAAGTTACAGATTAAGTTCTTGTTCCACAACATGGAGCTTGTCTGGAGATATATGTAAAGACTTGGCTCATCTTTACAAAGATTTTGCCATCATTAGCTAGAATTTTTGTGCCCAGCACTATAAACTGTTTACTCCTTGATGGTCCTGAAAAAGGAAGGACCAGGAGAAGTCTCCATCACTATACACACAAAGTTAGGGTATAACATGTCCTTGCGCGCTTCATTTTCAGCAAAAAATGTGGAAGACTACTTATGGTGATGCCAGAGAAAGATGGATAATTTCTCTTACCATGTCAATAGTCTATTTGTTTTAAAAATAATCAGTTTTGTCAACTAATTTAGAATAAGTTTCACCTGAATAAAAGAAAAAAAACCCAAATCTTTCCTGCGCCTATGAAGGTAATGGCTAAATGTTCTTCCTGGCTGTGCAGATCCAGGTTTAAATTTTCATCTGCCTGATCTATGCTTGCTGGTTTCCTTAATTAAACATTTCATTGACATGAAAGACTATTTCTTTCATGTCAATTTACAACAATATTTAAGTGTCTAGTAGGCAAAGAGATGGGCACAGTCAGGCAATAAAAATATTGTTTTCCCATATTTCATGTTTGAATCTTCCTATAACTTCTAACAGCTTCCCACTAGTAAATATGCATAAGTATGCATATTGAATAATTCTGAATAATTCACTACACCTCTGAAGTCTAACTGAGTAAAATATTTAGCACTCCTAATATACAACAGTTTCTGTGGCAATCAAGCTTGTTGGTTTTTAAAAAGGGAGAAACTCCAATTAATAAACTGTACCAGATGTGACATTGATCCTCCTGAACTCAGAAGTGACATAACCACTACCACTCCCTTATGGGAATGCAGCTCCAGAATCAAGATGAAGCAAGGGGATACCTGTCCCAGATGCTGTTTTCTTTCTGGACCAGAGCAACAACATACAGGAGCACTGTTTAAAATGGAAAGGAAGAAAGGACTGTAATGAAAAAGACTGCTGCAAGGATGCACAAACTGAATTGGCACAGGCACTGGAGAAAAATGCAACATTTGTGTAATTTTTCATGCCAACAAAGTGTTTGGAAAACTGTATGAGAGTGAAACAGGTTAACAACACATCCAAGTGACTGGAGAAGACAGTAACAAGAGACTGGGTCTTCATATTCTCATGCTCCCCAAATTTCCTAAAATTTGATGAATTTTGGCATACAGCAAGAATTCAAAGTCTTACTGGACCATGCCACTATCAACAAATCTGCAGAAATTCTTCTCCATACCTACCTGATGGGGGCATTAGTTCTGGGTACTTTGTACAGCAACATACAAAAGTTTAAATGAGATTTCCACAGAAAAAATTTTGTATAAGCTCCCTCTGGTTTTTGCATCTGTTTCTCTGTACTCTTATGAAAACAAATAGAGAGGACATATAAAAAAATACAAATCAAACTAAACCAAGGGCCAGACTGCACACATTCAAAAGAAAAAATATGTCTGATTGTGTACATGGTTGCTATGACCACAGGGAAAAATGCCAGTATATTCTCACTGCTTGGCCTCACTTCTGGCTTGGTCCTCCACTTGGATCATCTTTAATCATGAGTAAATCTGGTTAAAAAAAAAAAAAATCAAGAAATACTTTTTGTGATGAAAAGATGCTATTTTTATGGAAGTTCTCTAAAAACATGCTGATTTTTATGACAAATTTCAGCAGGAGGAATAAAAGGATGATATTACTTTCTATCAAGCATTTTGGTGAGGAATTTTGACATATAACTTCATATGCATTTCTTATTTTATTTAATTAATTGCACAACAGACCATCAGTAGTGCTGCATATTGCCTTATGCCTGATGTGTTATGATAAATTTTGTGTCAGTTTGTATAATTTCTACAGAAATGGTACTTTGACCTAGAAAAGAAGTTAGGTGTCTGCTAATAGTAAATAGAAACTGACATTAACTATCCCTTTATCTAGCTCTAATAATGTATATAAATTACATAACTATTGTCACTATGAAATACTGTGATAAAGATGTGTAGGAAGATAAAAAATGAAGTGTTGTAAGAATAAACCATAGAACAGCAAAACCAAATTTATCTGAAACATGGAGCAAAAGCTCCTAAAAGCCACAGCTGAGTTTCTCCAAGCTGAAGTTCTTTAAGAGTTGGTTGTCATTCCAGAGATGAAAACTGAATCCTTAAGCTCCTGAATGTCCTATGAAACAAAATCCACCTTGAGGCACAGGATTAGTCAACACTCACAAGTTTCCTGTCATCTTGTTAACAGCCTCAACTTCAAAATGTTAATGAATCTTACATTAAAATGTGTTCTGCCAAGAGTAATCCCACATGCCTGCTCAGAGCACACCTTGCTACCAGGAGCAACGGGGGTGCTGTTCTGCCCCTGGGTTTCACCAGGATGATGCTGCAGGTCCTTGCCAGAGTGTGTCACAGCTCTGAGGGGCAGGACTGCCAGCACACTGCAGCTCAGGTCGGTGCTCAGTGCAGAGCTGCTCTGCTGAGCAGAGTTGCTGCCCTCCTTTTGTGCATGGACATCATGAAAGAGACCTTGCAGGGTGAGGAATGGAGCCCTCACTCAAGCCTAAAGGTTAAACCTTAAAAATACATGATTACATGGAAATGGATTTTTTTTCTTTTTTAAAGCAAGGGAGTCTTGGAAGTCATAGATACAGAAAATGTTTGAACTAAAACAACCAAGAGGTCAATGTAGCAATTTTCAAATTTTCACCCACACAGACTGTGCTGATTTGGGACAGTGAGTATCGCTTGGAATTGTGAAGAGGGAGAGGTGGGGAGGGAGGCTCGTCACAACCAGAGCCCAAAGATCAGAAATACCTCAGGGAGGATGAAAGAAGGCACAAGTGGAACTTGGCAGCTGGACAGAGTTCTGCTTTCTTTGCACAGTGGTCTATAGCAGCCAGTGGAGATTGTGTAGTCCTCCTCTGTCACACACAAAGCAGAATCACTTTCCTCAGATGGATTTTGAGACACACACAAAGGAGCAGGATGATCATGTGTGTGCTGCCTTATGCAGCTCCCACTCTAGCTTCTTCATTCAGTAGCTCCCCACTCAGAACAGTCTTGTCCACACCAGTGTTCTGCCCCCAAACCAGAGAAATGCTGCAGGTTCAATCAAGAACCTGCAAAACTCTCCCTGCAAAACCTTCACACTGTACCTCTCCAAAATGTGTTGCCACTGAGTCCTCAAGAGCTGCTTGTAAGAGGGCTCTGCCTCATCTTCACAGAGAGAGAGAGAGGGAAGAAATGGGAAGCAGGGCAGGGTGGTCTGCATTCTCTGCAGAGCCCTTCCCAGGGACTGGGAGGAAGCTAATGCTCCTAAGAACTGGGCAATGGCAGGACACTGTCCAAAGTGACTGTAGCTGCCAGAGGGCATGAACAAGCCTGAGAGCATGGGAGAGGGACAACGCTGCTGCAACGTGTGTCCACAGCTCTTTGGAACTAAACAGAAGAGACGGACACTCTCTGAAGAGTGGACACTCTCTTAACACTTTCTACATGTGCTACTGTATTTTTGGTATACAGAAGTGGCTCCTTGCCACATGCAAGCATACACACACAGGCAGAGCACAGTTGCCTCCACAAAGCAGCCTCTCATAAGAAGCAGCTTTCATATATGGAATATCTCGTCTGTGGAGACGAGTCTAACCTGAGGGCATGATATGTTTGTGCTCATACTTTGTGTGCAGGTCTTCAAAAAAGCACATCCACATCACTGACAGCTTTGGGCAGCTGATGATGTTTCAGATGATGTTTCTCAAACACACAGCTGAAAAGTTAAAATTCATTATTAGATTCATCTTGCTTAATTTGAGGGGCCTCTGCCAAATTTCTCCCCTCAAGCTGGTTGCTGAAGATGTTACCAATTCTGAGAGTTACCAGTTCTACCTAACTTGAGATATATTTTGCATAGCACAAATCCAGATGATCTTGCTGATTAAACTGTAACTGATGCAGCTATTACTCCAATGTGGTCCCGGACACCCAGGTCAGAGGCAGCCTCTCTCACCATATCAAAAACTGTCGGTGGCTTCGGTACAGCAATGAGAACCACACGCGCCCTCTCCAGCGATGTCTTGGAGGTGACGTTTGCAGCGAGCTACCGAAACCCTTTCTTGGGACAACTGCAGGACTTGCCAGGGGAGATGCGGAACGCGCGAGGGATGTGACCAAGTTACCTGCTCCGCGGTCCACGTGGTGGTGGGAATACCCGGGCGGGCTAGTACAGAGCAGGGAGGAGAAAAGCAGCTGGCACAGCAGCCGTGCCTGCGCCTGACACCTACACGCGTGTGTCCCCCCCTGCCTTCCCCGCAGACAGCGAGTCCCCAGCCATGGACACGCGTGAACTCCGCGCCCCCTCTGCCCCCCGCCCCCCGTCCCCCGCGGCTGCGGCACTCACCTGAAGCAGGTGGTGAGCTCTCCCGTGGATTTCAGGCAGGGGTACCGGGTGGTGGCGATTTTGTTCTCGGAGCAAACCTCCCTGCAAAGCGGGGAGTCGGAGTATTTTTTAAAAAACCCAAAAGGTAGGAAAAAGAAAGAGAAGGTGGTCGTTGGGGAGGACACGCGCAGAATCAGCCTCGCTATCACAACACCCACCTGTCGCCGTCCTGCGGCTCCTCCCGGTAGGTCCAGGCGTGTCCCAGCGCCAGGAGCAGCAGCAGCCGGAGCGGGGCCAGGCTGCCGGCCGGCCGCCCCATCGGGCCGTCGCTCCCCTCCGCGCCGCGCCGGCTCTGCCCGCCCCGGCCGGCGGCGGGGCTGCGCCGACCCGCGCTCCTCCCGCCCCGCCGCGGGGCCGCCCCCCGCCGCCGACAGATGTGCCCGCGGGGAGGGGCCGCGCGCGCCCAGATGTGCCGGCAGATGCTGCCCCGCGGCGGGGCGGCGGCCAGATGCGACAGGGTTGCGGCAGATGTGCGGTGGGAGTGCGGGGACATCAACAGACAGCCCCGCGAAGCCACGCTGCACTCCCGACCCCCCGGCTGCGGGCAGCACGCGGAAGCGGGGGAGAAGGGTGCCCACCCCAGGGTAAGGGCGACGGAAAGTGGTGGAAAGGTCCGGAGCGGCGGGGGTGATCAGCGGCTCTCGATGCACCTTCACTGATGCTTTCCAGATTCGGGTTTATCTCAAATCTCTTCCCCGAAGGAGCAAAGCCGCTCAAAGCATCTCTGCTGCGACGGCTGTTTATCCTTGTGTAGAGCTGCCGCTTCCCCACCATTCATAAAGACGGAGATTAATGACAGCAGACTCCGATAAAGCAGCGCATCAGGTCTGGCCCGTTTTACCATATCCTGTTTTCACGGTCAAACTGCTTGGGATCAGGGGAGTGAACCTGCAAAACGACCGTGCCTTTGCAAAGCGTTGGGCAGACTTCTTAGCTTTGATCACCACGTAGCTTCCTACAAGTACCAAAAGCTCTGGGGACATGACGGGGTGCAAATCAGCCTTTCTAGTACTTTCACCTGCAGTATAAAAGACCTCATTTTGCAGTCAGAAAAATCAGGGAAGTGTGAGCAACAGATTGTACTCATATATCATTACAGCCAGAAAAGTCAGGGTTATGAAAGGAACTGTAATTCCTCTATTAAACTAGCATAGGAGTAATAAAGGGGTGTAAGATTTGAGCAACACGCTTCTCTTTTTTGCCCCTGCCACAGGCACCATTTAACAATTTCACCATTCCATGCCTCAGTTTCCCGTGTCTCTAAGAGGAAGTTCCTGATAACAAAATAAATAAATAAAACAATGCAGATCCCCCATATATGAATCAGCTATGATTAAACGGTTAATCTCTCCGGTATGTTGTCCAGTACCCGGGAAAAAAACTATAGATGAACTGGGAAATTACGGGATTTTCAGAAGTTTTTCCTGACTTGCATATCATCCACTGTCATCATGGCATGTGAACTGCCAGCTTCAAGGTATTTCCCTCCTCTAGGCAGCACATTGTCTCTACTCCTGTGCTCAGTTAAGGGAGTGCTGCCTGGCAAACTTTTTTCCCCCACTTGTTTTGGCTTTTGCTCTCAAGAGGATGTTTCAGATGTTTATTCTCCCACAATTACTTCTTTTTCCTTTATACAAATAATGAGTAAGCAAAGACGGGACTTGCTATCTTGAAGCCAGAGAAAGCTGTGGGTCGTTCTCACAGGGCTAAGCTCTCATTGTTCACAGGCAGCCTTTCCTGATTTGGAGATAACAGGAACAAAAGCAGGACCTGGGTGCTTGGACCCCAGAGCTCAGGAGACACCTGTCTCCAAATTGTGTTCCTTACCCAAGCAGCCCAATTGTGTTCCTGCTCCAAGCAGAAAGTAACCAGTGACAAGGTCTGAAATGAAGAAGGGTTTGCACTGCTGTAACCCCTGTGATGTCTGTCTATAGATAACAAAGAATTTAATTTAACACATTCCAGAAATGGTCACCGACCCTCCCAAAACACTCCATTTTTTAAAGAGATTGAATCCCAGAGAACAGAGCTGAAGTTCTTTGGATGATTTCCAGCCCAGACCCAAGTGTCATGAATGCCAAAGGACTTTGATTTTAAAAGGCCTGAATACAGGCCTGGCATAAGTATATTCCAAAAAGGTGGGTTTTTTTTCAGAACTTTTGCCACTCAGTGAAGGTCTGATTCACTACTTAAACTACTTAAATTGTCTCCCTGCCCTTTATTTAATCCTTGCCACCCACATAGCACTGCTATCTTTTTAATTAAAAAATATTATATTAACTTACGTATGTATTTATTTAACCCATGCTAACAGCCTTGCTAATTTAAAGATGGTAACCTGCAGGTGAAGTTAATCCTGTACTTGACTCTGCCAAAGCAGGGCCCAAAGTTTTACATTCAAAAGAATTTCAGTGTGATCAATAGTTGACAGGAAAGAGAGATTAAACAGCACCATACTTTGCAGTTGGTAACTGTATTGCAACTGAATACATTAAAGTTGGAGATTTGGTCATTTTGCTTCATCAGCTCCATCTCAGCTTTAATGATCACGCAGCCAGGGTCATCCTGCGAACAAGGCTTTTGTCCTGAAAAGTGTTGAAGGGTGATGGTGGTTAAGGAAACATGGAAAAGTTTCTGTTGCCTCAGGGAAGGAACGGCTAGGGCTGTTTTCACATATAGCAAATAAGCAGAATGGGATTTCTCATGCGAGGGATGCTTTTTCTTGTGCAGGGTCATGTTAGTTTTGACTTGCCCAACTCAAGCACGTATGAAGTTGATTAAGTTGCACGCTAAACTTTGGAACGCTCTCAAAGAAAAGAATGAGGAATTCAATGCAGTAAAGTGGTTATCAGAAGTTTTATTTACACTGTTTACATAGGAAGAAGATGCATTGTTTCCTGTAGTTCATTCATAATGATGCTGTTGAATTAATAATACAAATTCAAGTTCCTTTCTGGATATTGCTGGTAACTGGAATAGCCTAGAAGCAAATCTTGATCACTTCCTCCAAAGTGACTTTTTCTGTAGTGGAAAAGCAGAACCTCTGAACATGAGGAGAAGGGTGTTCAGAGCACCCCTGACTCCTTAGAAATACAGGGTTTGTTTGCATGCATTAAGATCTTGAGCAGTTATTTATTTATTATCTACTAGTCCTGGATCTCTACCAGGGCAATTGTATTAGGCTCAATAATAACACATTGAAGAGGTTTGAAATTTTGATAGTGATGCTAAACATAAGATTATTTTTATCCCCTTTCTACTCCAGTCTTTAAAAGAGCTGTGACTATGATGTTTGGGGAGGAAGGGTAGGGGTAGGGGAGCACAGGGATTTTTTGGTTAGTTGGCTGGTTTTTTTAGATGTTTCACTGCAGTACAGAAGTATGCACTGTGATTACTCTTGATGCGTTTACAGATGACATTTTCATTGGTGTATTTTCCATCTGCTTCAAACATAAAACAGTTACTGTAAATAGTAAATAGTAAATAGTCTTAATCCTACTACTACAGTGTTGTGTTTACATCAAGTGCCAGGTCTCCAGCAGTCAGCATTGACATGTCCGGAGACATCACAGCAAGGCTGAAGGTGTAAACAGACAGAAAACAGAGATTTTCAAGAATATCTTGAGTAGATACTTTGAAAGGCCTCATGTTGGTCATTCATGGATTAGGCTCCCTTCCAGGTTAATGCCCAAACTGAACCTGGAAATCCAGATCCAGACCTCCACTTTTAAAAAATATTGCACAATCCAAACTCAGCTGCTACACACTCATCCAGGCTTGGGCAGCATAAAGATTTCCCACAGCACTGGAACTCCAGGAGGCACCCAGAGCACTGTTCCATCTCAGAAAAAATCCAGAATCAGATAACAGAGAGAGAAAAAAAAATCCTGAATTATTATATCTCTCTCTAGATAGATAGATAGAGGTGAAACATCTTCCTCCACATGAAATTTCTAACCTCTATGTGATCAACAGAATTACCCAGTCTGTAAAAGGCTGCATGAAGCAAGGAATAAACAGGCAGAACAAAGGCTAGGAGTGAATGCAAAAGCTCTCAGAAATTATCCCCCAGAAGCAGGTCCAGGATGGGAAGGAAGAGAGAAAAGGTGAAGAAAAAGAGAGGGAGAAGAGGAAATATAGGGAATAAAAAAGGCTGAAGAAATGTCAGGGAACCATAAGGTCTGCCCAGGGTAAACAGGTATTACATCCTGAAAGATGACGGTAGAGCACCTGGCAAAGCATCTATCAGAGCAGGGGAAATGTAGAAACAGGTGAAAAAACAGTGGCATAACCACAGCAGCTCCAAGTTATGTTTGGGAGGCAAAGACCAGAGGACAAGATGAAGAATGGCTAAAAAAATTGAGAAAGGCTGTTATTCTTACATCTTTGTTCTAGCCATCCTTTTGCCACTTGAAAAGGTGTGAAACTGTGGTAATTAAAATATTTTATTTATTTTGCCTAGTAAGTTCAAGGGGCTGTCTTACTCTCTGCTACAGCCCAACATCTAAAATACCCAACAAAACTTGCATTAAATAAAAATATTGATGCAGAGATAGATACTTCTCATCACAAACAGTAGAATGGCACTTAATCCATCTAGGAGACAAAAAGTCTTTGCTTTTTGTCCGAGGTATTTTTGGTAAAACACATCAACAAAGGACCAGGGCAGTTGAAATGCGATGCAACTGTTTTGAAAATAGCCATGGAAAAAGGCATGTCAGAAAACATGAAATGCTGACCATCAGGCACAGCCTCCAGAGAGCATCACAGCTACAGAAAGGAATTGCTTCTGTTTCACAGATAATTACAGGGCTCATCTTAGATTAGCAGCAAAAATAAACACCTTTTGAAAGTATCAGCTAAAACAATAACACTGCTGACCAAGAAGAAAACACGTAAATGAGAGCACTAATTCACCAAAAACAAATCCTGGTGGATACGTGGCATCACACTAGCCAGACCTGACTTATTTTTTTTGGGGGGTTAGGTTTGAATTCCATTTTGTTATAAGAGATTAGAGCTGAAGAATGTGAAATCTTCCATGGCATCCCAGCTATCAAACACCATTGACCTCTGCAGATCATATGTGCTCCTTTTCATTCTGGGCTCCTTTGAAAGGCCTGGCACACTGCTCTAAGTGCACGGGCAGCAAGATAAACAGACCCCCTTCTACCCAGCCTTTATATGAGTCAAAATGAAGGCACTGTGCTTCTGAAGTTTACAAGATTATCCACCTAAATTGCTCCTTTGATGAGCATCCCATGGCAGTGTCATGTTCTA